ACATTGGTATTGAAGGAACTAGATTCTGTTCCGAAATATCACTTACTCGAACCGTCCTGACCGCGTAGCTCAGCTGGAAGAGCATTGGGCTAGTATTCCAAAGGTCGTAGGTTCGAATCCCACCGTGGCCGGGCATATTTTTCAAGCTCGCCCGGTGTGGATATGCACTCAGAGTAACATCGCAAACATATTATTCACCTGAGTACACAACACCAACACAGAAAAATTCATACTACTAGAACACATTGGTATTGAAGGAACTAGATACTGTTCCGAAATATCACTTACTCGAACCGTCCTCACCGCGTAGCTCAGTTGGAAGAGCATTGGGCTAGTATTCCAAAGGTTGTAGGTTCGAATCCCACCGTGGCCGGGCATATTTTTCAAGCTCGCCCGGTGTGGATATGCACTCAGAGTAACATTGCAAACAAATTTAATATCACGACCATTGACAAAAGAATTGGGAGCATGCCAAAACAAATTGAGGAAATTACATCCTCAAAATGAAAAAGATTGAAATAACTAACTAAAAACATTAACTTTCAACTATATTAACATTTAATATAATATAATTATTTACTGTTATACGTATGATATATAGTAATCAAAATATTTTACACACTAGCTAGCCTGTATATATGCTTAGTGAGCATGTTCTGATAGTATTCTCAATGTATACATTTTTAGCACAAAATGAAGAATTAAATCTTTATCATAACCTGCTTTGTTATATTTGTGGCCATATTGGTTAATGGAGGTTACACACCAACTTAGGGGCCAATTACATTTTCATCCCGGGATGAAATTTCAGCCCGGGGCCCCTATAAATTCAATATAAAATGAATTTTACGATTACATGAATTTCAGCCCGGGTTGACATTTTCATCCCGGTTTATGTCACCCGGGATGAGATTTTCAGCCCTGTCAACCGGGATGAAATACAACCTCGTTCCCAGGGTCTTTAGGAAAGACCCTGGTATCGGCTGGTCACGTGCCTCGTCCAAAATTGATTGCCCGAGGGGGTGTGGTGAAAGTATCAAATTACAAACAGTTAAAAACATAAATTTTGCAAACTATTACCAGTAAGTTCAAAATACTTGCTAATTTTTGTTTATTTTATTTGCTTTGAATTTACAAGAACATTCTTACATTTTTACCAACAGTCAAGTCAAGAAACCAAGCAAATCGTTACTCGCAGTGCTCCCTCGTGTTATTATTATTCAATGCTCTCTTCACACTCGAGCGCGGTTTTATAACAAACGTTTATGGGCTTTTCAGTGGTCACCATTTCTACATATCTAATGTTTTTAAAACAAGCATTAGATTTGTCCTTTTCTGTAAACGTTGCTATGCTTTGCACGTCTTGTTTATAAGATTTTTAAAAGAAACAGTATTGTGTTGTATTGTCTAGGACTAGAGCCCAATATCAGCAAATGTAAACCGATTTGATACTAGCCAAACAGAGAAATGTCTGTCAGTGATTTATCTTTAAAATTTTGGATTTTGCACATAATTCGTATTCATTAATTATAGTAAGGCTTTAGCCTTTTTCTTGGTCAGATAATGTTTTCCTAATATGCACACACCTAGGCTATAATCTACATCACAAATTTAGAGTGTCAGTCGTGCACAGACTGCCATACGAATACACATAAATTTTCGAGATTTCTACTTCTACTAAGGCTACTAACAGTTTTCATTGTGTCTCAATCATCTGTTTATTTCTAGTTCAATAAGTTCATTTATATTTCTATATTTATTTGATAGTGGTGTATATAGCGATACATGTAAGCTATTTACACACAAGCAATCCTGGATATGATAGAGACGATACAAGCTGTCCATTAAAAAATAACGGTATTGTATTTCACAAAGCAAAAAATTTAAATCTCACTTGTATTATTAAGAATCTATATAAAGCAGAAAATTAAAGCTTGTGTCAAAACGAAAGCTGTTTATAAAATTTATAAATGTGGTATAAACACAGTAGTAAACAGTAAGACAAATATATTGTCATTTGACTTATCTTTGATGTATGACTTTACTGTAATACCGTAGATTTTCAACAGACAGCTAGACTTTCACATATACCATGATCGTTGAGATATTGCAGGAAATTTTATTGTATTTTGACGGGATTTAAGTTTTGTGATAAGGCCTTTTATATAATCAACAATCTCGATACAGTTGGCGTCTTGGCGATATTTCGGAAATCAAAAGATCTCGCTATTTTGTTCCAATTCCACATCAATAAATATATTCCTTTGGTCCGAGTATCAGGATATAGTTTAATACTATTAACAGTTAAATAAATATAAACCACATTGGTCGGTCTAGAGATACTGTATGAATTTTCTTGTAGGCTTACAGTATATTGCCACGCCACCCAGGCGTGCTTTCTTTGTAAGTTGAAATCTGATCCAACTTGCTTGAATCGTAACTCGACACTAGATTATAGAGCAGAAAGTCACATCACGATAAATATTAATTTTTAATTGCAGTTCTCTTCACGATTTCTTGTTGCAAATTTAAATTTCATCACACTGAATTGCAAATATTGTTACAAACGCGACAAACACGCTCCTCTCCCACCCTGCCCATAGTATCATTTTAATTTATCACCCAGAATCTGGGTGACAAGTGACCAGCCGAAACCAGGGTCTTTCCTTCGCCTTGCGCCGTTCTAAGAAAGACCCTGCGAACGAGGTTGGATGAAATATCCCATATAATCGCAAATAATTTCAGCCCGGACTAAAAAAAACAATTGTTTAAATGGCTTTATTTTGCGTTTCATCTCATCTTTAATACTTTATATGCAACCACAGTATTGCACAAGTCAAATAGTCGACTAATCGGCGTTTTAAATGCTCAAACAAGCGGACAGGGGTGGCGCTAACCCTCTTCTAGTTGTGAGGGATCTTTTGCCGACTGTTTGGTAATTTTGCCGAGTCATTAGCCTATAGTAAAGGTACGTTTAAATGTATTATACCCTCTATTAAGCCGGTTTTCCACTAGCAAATTTTTCCGCGCAAAGAGAGTTGTTTAAGAGACCTTTTTCCTTTGTCGGCATCCATTTTGCCACGTCTTGCTGACGTAATAAATGATACCGACAAAGGAAAGAGGTCGCTTCGCGCAAGAAAATTCGCTAGTGCAAAACCGACTTTATTGCCTCTTTTATTGAACAGTAATGAACAACAACAACAACCACACAAATTTAATTCCCTATTTATGATTTCAACAATATGTTTTTGGACTGAAAGAAGTGAAGTACTGTATTCAAAAGAATTTGCATTGCTGCATGTGTGGTTTCTGAATTTTGATGCATACACCAAGTCTCTAATAATATCAAACTGAAAGTCTGAAACTTTATATTTGACACAAGTTTTACTATTTGTAGCGAAGTCTAGCATTACAAGAAATACAAGATGAAATATCACATGCTTAATTGCTTTCGTCACAGTGAAACAGTTTTTTTAAGAACGAAAAGACTGAAAGTATTTGTTGAATTCCGTTCATATGAATTTACTTATCTAACCTCTTGTCCCCCATTGTTGAGCGGTAAACACTCTTCATGAATTTCAGATGACTGAAAGTTCTCTCATCTTTAGCGACTGAAATTGGAGCTGTTAGCATTAACTGAAACCCCGTTTACACTACACTCATTTTTGGCACGGCACTCTTAAATAATGGCACGCGGACCATTTTCTTGAAAAATCAGCATCGTTTACACTACAAATTTTGGCTGGCCATCAAGATGCACTAGCACCCCTACTCTTGAATACGGCACGCTTAAATACTGCGCTGTTAAATCAAACTTCGGCAGTTAAATTGTTAAAGTAAATTTCGCGGGCATTTTAAAAAATGGAGGATGTAAAAAACAGCAAACTCGGCACTTGTTTGGTATTTTTATGTGACAAAACGGAGACGTTTACGCTTGGCAAAATTTAAAGATAACCGTGTACGTAGAACAGTGCTTCACAACATAAAAAGAAAAGGTAAAAAAGAATTTATTGAAACTGTACTAGCTTTTTTTCATCGCCAAAGAACTAGAACACTGTGGATGCACCCACGAACACAGATCTGGTTTGAGATGGTGGACGACACCTACAACGACGAGCTATGGTATGCTAACTTCAGAGTTACGAAAGAAACGTTTACATTTATTCTCAGAAAGGTTGAGCCCGAAATAGCTCATGAAAATACACATCTTCGAGAAGCAGTTTCAGCGAAACGACAGCTGGTAGTTACATTGTATTATCTAGCATCCACGGCTGAATACCGCACAATTGGCAACTTATTCGGAGTTTCACGGTCATTTGTGTGCCAGTGCATTAAAGAAGTATGTCATGCAATAGCAAAGCAGTTTCCAAATCATCAAATGCTATCAGCTTCCCTAAGGGATGATGACCTTTTGCGAGTCATTCGAGTTTATGGAGAGTCATGGAGCTTTCCCATGTGTGCGGGCGCAGTAGATGGAACTCACATACCGATACTGGCACCTAACAAAAATCACACAGATTATGTCAACCGTAAGGGGTTTCATAGCGTCCTTATGCAGGCTGTGGTAGATTGTAATTATATATTCAGGGACGTAGTTATCGGTTGGCCAGGAAGCGTACATGATGCGCGGGTTTTCTCCAACTCAGCCATTTTTGCAAATATTTAATATTTACATTGCGCAAATTAACATGTTATAGTATATGATCAAATGACCAGATGACCTCAGTAGGGAAATATGTGGCCTGGAGATGCCACCGGTAATTCTTGCGGACCCATGCAGCCTATCCGCTGTTATCATGGGTGTTAAGAAAACTGCAAAATCCCATTACTTGATGTCTAGTTGATGTAAATATTTCAGGAATATTTATGGGAGTATTCTGTGATGTACTAAATATTCCTGAAACATCTTCCATATTTGTTTGTAAATAGTTTGTGTGTTTTTCATTGCAAATTGTCCTTATGTACATAATCTATTTTTATATTACTGAACACTAAAACTATAGGGGCCTCGCCTTAAAAGTCCAACAGGATTTTCAGAGGTCTCTAGCCCGTTTATATACTATTCTTAAATATTCAACTTGTAAATATTATTTGTGGGTAAATAAAAAACTAAAAATAAAAAATTAAAGGGCTACCGTAGGAACGAGGCAACAAGAAGTCGACGAGTTTTTAACAATCGTCTTAGTCGTGCACGAATGACGGTAAACACCTTTGGTAGGTGAAAAGGAAAATACATCAGATTCAAAAAGCGGGTGGACATGGATGTAAGTACTCTGGCACATGTTGTACAGGCTCATGCGTGTTACATAACATATTCCGAATGATTATACACTCAAACATCTGGGGCCGGTTGTATAAAAAAGTGATTAAAGTTAATTATAATTAAGTGGAAACGTCATCCAATAAGAAGCGCCTATTTGAGAGTTAATCACTATTTATAAACTACAAAATAGTGATTAAAAAAGTGATTAAGAGTTTTATACAACCGGCCCCTGGCCTGGGTGTAATATAATTTAGTTACCCTCACTTGTGGTCCATGAATATCGGATATAGAGTGCCTTGAATTGGATAAATTCAGGGCTGACTTTTATCTAATTATCAGCACTCTATATCCGATATATAGAGCACAATTAAGTGTAAGTAAGGTTTGTTTTTGACGCCATCTTGTATTCTTTTTCAAGGAATACGCATGCGTAATTAGTTTTAGGGCCGCGTGCTATATTTTAAGCGGGCCGAGACTACCTCCTTGAAGAGGTCTCGGCCCGTCAAACAATTATGGCACGCGGACCCTTAATTTTGCGTTTACACTTCGAAAATTAAGAGTGCCGTGCCTAAAAATTTGGTCCGCGTGCCATTATTTAAGAGTGCCGTGCCAAAAATGAGTGTAGTGTAAACGGGGCTTACTGTAAAATCAAAGACAAATTAAAGCGCAAACTTACCAGCATAGCCAACAATATTTTACACGTATGTATTGATTTGTATAGTTGTACGCTGTTAATAACTCTGTAAGGACAAGTTGGTGAATATACGTCACGTCTGAATTTCACGGATATAACGCTATATCGTAAGAGGCTGTCTCCGTAAAAACCTCCAGGTCAATATGGAGCTCTGAGTCTAGTTCCTTCTCAGTTCCGAAATATCGCATACTCGAACCGACCTGACCGCGTAGCTCAGTTGGCAGAGCATTCGGCTAGTATTCCAGAGGTCGTAGGTTCGAATCCCACCGTGGCCAGGCATATTTTTCGGGCCTGCCCGGTGTGGATATACACTCAGAGTAACATCACACAAACATCTTATTCACCTGAGTACATTACACCAACACAGCAAGTACCACATTTTCAAATGTTACAAAGTTTGCGCGCTTGTCATTTTTGTCAAATGGTAAATCAGAAAGATATTATTGGCGATTTGTGTGAGTTTGGGTATAAATGGTCGAGTGTCGAGGGTCGCGGGTCATAGGTCGAGGGTCATAGGTCGAGGGTGAAAAGTCGAGGTCGAGGGTGAAAAGTCGAGGTCGAGGGTGAAAAGTCGAGGTCGAGGGTGAAAAGTCGAGGGTCGAAAGTCAAAATACTAAATTTTTATCCATTTTAAAAGTTTTACAACCATTAAACGCGGCAAAACAATTAGTTTTCCAGTCAAAACTGAAAAATTTCGCCTATAATATGGCTATGCCGTATGGCTATGTACTGTATATAAACTGAAAGTTTCGCTTGTGGAACTAAAAGTCTGATGCGAGGTTTGATGTTCAGTGAAAGCATACATCTTTTATTTTATATTGGAGTTTAAAATATACGATTATACAAAAATGGCGTTTCACTCTCATGAGAAATTTGATTATAGGTATAAATATGTTATGTCTTGGAGGCGAAAGAGTTCTGAAATTCTCAGAACTTCAACTTAACGATACTCCTCATACCGCGTATGGTTTGGGAGGTTTAAAGCATTAGGGTGTGCGAGAAACAGTTGATATTTATATATTTTATAACATCATGTCTGCACCGGAAGTGCACATGTTCGATTGACAGTTTCATATTCATAATATAGTTGCGAGAACGTTGTAGTGTAATAAAATGGAAACTTTCTTTAGTTATTCTGTCAAAAATAACATGCACGAAGCACAAATCTTTATAATTTGTGAGACATTTTTGCTGCGCTGGGACTCGATTCGTTCTGATAGTACAATAAATACAATATATTTTCGAATCACCCCACCGGCACCGTACGTTCTCGAATAGATTTAGTAATTTTACACTTTCTCGAAAAACAAAAAAGGAACCTAATTATGCCCCAAGGCATTTTCTGTACTAACAGTAATAAAGTTAGTTATCAGGAGAACCTTTAAAATTTTGACAACAAATGCCAAAAATGTAGTATTCTAAAACTGTATTAATAAAAAATTAATATTTCCCATTTTCGACCCTTGAATTTCGACCCTCGACTTTTGACCCTCGACCTCGACTTTTGACCCTCGACTTTCGAACCTCGACCTATGACCCTCGACCTATGACCCTCGACATATGACCCTCGACCATTACCCAAACTCGATTTGTGTTGACTAATTTTAGTAGTTTGTAGAAAAATTAAAGTCATGTGCCAATCAAGTGCCACGATTTTGAAATAAGCTTTCAAAGTTGATATATTTTGAGACGATAATCCGTTGTCCATTCAGGAGGGTCAATAACTGCGCTGTTTTCTATTTTAGTGCCAAAGAATAATTATCTAAGTCATATCACCAACGAAAATAGAAGGATAAGTCCATATTTCTGAGCAAAAATTTTGAAATTTTAGGTATGAATTTGATTTAAAAAAATGGCGCTGAAAATATGTCTATATATTTTGCCTTCATTCGGAGTTCAAGTTGGTTACCAGCAGATCAAACATCAATTGCCCCCCAAAATAATTAAAAGGAAATTTGAGTAAAATGAAATCGATTTTAGTTGTTCCCAAGGATAGATCTTCAAAATACAAGAGTATGAGAGAAATCTATTTTTGAGCCCCATATTGACCTGGGGTTTTTACGGAGACAGCCTTTTAAGTACTGTCAGGGGTGGCGCTAGACCTCTTTGAATGGGTGGTGGTGGTGGTGTTGGGGGGAGGGGTTGGGGTGAAAGGAAATTTTTCCCAGTTATCAAGGCAAATTTTCCCGAGTCACTGCAACCACTAATTAATATTTCTTTTCCCAAAATTGCTATTCCTATCCAAATCCACATTTTGCCGACTGGGATTCCATATATTCCCGACTCGACTGATGAATGGGGAGGGGGGAGAGGGTGTTGTTATACCCTCCACACCCTGTCCCTTCAGCGCCGGCCCTGAGTACTGTCTAATTGTCTGCGTCTGATTGGTTAATGGACCTATTACCTAATGAACAAAATTTTGATCTAGACATGTCTAGACAAAAATGTCACCACAGCTTGAAGAGCATCACAAAATTAGTAATATTCAGAAGTTTCGTTGCGAAATGTCGTAAAATGCGGATAATACAGCCCTGCGAAGTTTGCCGTTTTTCAGTCATTTTGTATTACGTGCGTGAAATTGATGGCTTTTTTCAGAACGCGGTATCAATTTCCCGTGCGTAAGACTCAAACAAAACGGAACTTTCGAAACATATTTGGAAATTAAAAGAAAACAATCAGGATTATACCATCAAATGGTCAATTTTAAAACACGCTATTTCGTACACAGGGGGATCAAAACGCTGCAATTTATGTTTGGAAGAAAAATTTTGCATTTTGAAAGACATAAACAAAGACAATTTACTCAATAAAAGAAGCGAAATTTTCGGCAAATGTCGTCACAAAAACCGTTTTCGAGTAAACAAGGTCGTTAACAAAACCTAATGACCCAAGCATGCATTGTTTCGCCTGATCGTGACTAAAACACCACACGAGTACATACGAGTAACATACGAGTAACACACAAGTACATACGAGTACATACGAGTAACACACGAGTACATACGAGTAACATACGAGTACATTCGAGTAACATACGAGTACATACGAGTAATACACGAGTACATACGAGTAAAACACAAGTACGTACGAGTAGAATACGAGTACATACGAGTAAAATACGAGTAGTAAACTTGTTTTTAGTGTTTGTAGATTGAATACAGGCAAAAAGATCGTCTTCTCTTTCGAAAAACGTGGAATGGTGGAACGGGGAATGTGGGAACGGGCAATGGAGGAACGGGGAATGCGGGAACGAGGGGACAGGGGAATCGGGGAATTATGAATTATTGTTAATACGTAACATTAATCATATGTACGGGGGGAAAAAGAACAGAAAAAAGAAACAGAAATTCGACAGGATAAACGGAAATCGGGGAATTACGAAACTATAAAACGGACTCTGGTGTCTTGGGAATTAGAAAACCGCTCAATGAATTAAAACTAGTAAAGAAATTTAGCGAAGCTTTCCTTTATTAGCCGTACAGCGTATCATAAAAAGGTCAATCCACATTGCTTATGTAATATTAATAATAATATTGCTTATGTCATTACTAATATACTTGCTATATAATAAAACAAACTTAAGGACTAGATGCAAGTCCAAGGCAGTCCTTATGCTCCATATGATATCTTAAAGTGATTATCCTATTTTAAATATGTTACAAAGCAAAACTAACAAAACACAAAATACTTCAAATACGCAGATTTTAAGCTAGCAATTTAAGTTGGCAAGTACGTTTCTAAAGGACCCAGCCGAACTCTCCTGCAAGCCTTTGGACGTGCTCCACCTTGAAAAGGGAAGGAAAGTCTGGAGGAACGAGAACGTCGCCAAGAAAGCTTGGATACTTTGTTCTGATGCAGGCTGATCGGAAATGAAAATGCAAGTTCTGAGGCTCACTTGAAAACTGGATTTGTCCTGCAGGGCATTTGACCCCCCCCCAGTCCCTCCTTGTGCCCCCCCCCACGAAATCACATTTTGCCCCCCCCCCAGAAAAAGTCCCTTTTTCCTAAATTTATACAAACAAACCAGCGAAGAATAACAAATTGATAAACGGAACGTAAGTTTTAGGCTTTATCCTTTGTCTTTGTTTATTAACAAAATCGATTTAAAGGACTGTGTCACCGCGTGCGCATCCTACGTGTTTCTAACACTAAGTTTATGATAAATTATTGTTAATATTTTTAAAATTTTTTGTGCGTTTTTTCCTTCTTTTATTTCAAATAGAAGTATAGTTAGGATAAATTGTAGAGCAAATTTAGATGCTCAGACGGCAGGAACTAATGGCATTTTTGGGCTTCAAATTTCAAAAATTTTCTGCGGAAGTATGCCCCCAGACCCCCTATTCATTCACGGTATGTCGGCCACACACATGACCCACGGCCATTACTATCCCCCTTTAATAATAAGTAATGGATAAATTATTGTTAATATTTCTTTTATTTTTTCTGCATTTTTTCCCTTCTTTTATTTCAAATACAAGTATAATTAGCATACTGAAATTTTAGAGCAAATTTAGATGCTCATAAAGCAGGAAATGGCATTTGAAAGGTTCAAATTTAAAACATTTTCTGGGGGAGTATGTCGGCCACACACGTGGCCGTCGGCCATTGCTATCCCCCTCTAATATATTATCTGACAGAAAGATCCCTTTTCAAAAAATTCCCCCCACGGGAAAATCCTTAAAAAAGGCCCTGTTGTCCTGTATTTCGGTCTCGGAACTGTCGTATGTCGTCACGGTATAAGTTAACTGTGTAGTTTGTATATTTGCCTAGCCACATGTTGTGATTGAGGCTAGGTGAGGATTGTAAGTTTATCACCTAGTACCGTATTTAAGTATAGAGGAAGTTAGGTTATGTGCATGCTCACAGGGTTTTGAAAGCAAACCATGCCGTGAAATATGTGAAGCCTATGGTTTGTGTCATGTATCTAACTATCTAGGTAGAATACCTAAAAGTAGATG